GCAGTGTGTGTTATCTGTGGGAAAGCAATAATAAACTGCTTTATCTGTTCACTATTTCACTATCTTAATTTATTTTATTAATGATACAGATATGGCAGCTTCTTAAATGTACTGCACGTAAATATTTATATTAAATTTTTTAAGATAATACATTTTTCAGTATATATACATTTCAAGATAACTTTTACCATATTTTTTTTTAAATTAATACATAGTTTACACAATAATTTTTAAATGTATTTGTTAATAGTTTGTGTAAATTTGATTAATCTGTTGTTGAATAATTATAACATTAATTTAAACGGTGCTGTTTTGTTATAACTAGGGCGCGGATGTTCGTGCACGATCCCGTGTCGCACGCAGCGGTACTCTGCGCGCGACACGGAATCGTGCACGAACATCCGCGCCTTAGTTATAACAAAACGTATTTTTTAACAGTTGTATTATTTTTGTTAATTGTTCAGAGAGTGATTAGATGACTTTGTTTAATGAGAAAGACAACTAAAATAGACTATGTGGTGACAGTTTGTAGTGGAAGAGGGCTTGGGAGCCTACAACACGGTGGTTGCCCAGCTCTTTGACAAAGACAACGCTGTTCAGGATGATCCGCTTGGCAGGTATTGCTGAATATAGCAAGTACATCAATCCCAGACCAGATTAATAATGCATTTTAAGAGACTTATATAGAATGTAATTAGTATGCGGATATTTTGCCATTGACTATTGTAGATGATGCTTGAAAGACTGCATTTTTCTTATTACGTGAGTTATTTCTAAAATATTGCAGCACATTCAAAATATACAGATATTTAAAATATGAGCATCGACTGCATATTTACGATGCATGCCATTTATTCAAGATACATAGAAGTTCAGTACATGGGAAACATTATGAAATCTTTGTACCGATTATGCAATTATGCCAATTATTCCGAACTGTCATGTCACCACATTACTCTTATTAAATTAAACATTGAAAAGTCTATTTTATTTATGCAATAAAATAGTGCTAGAATGCATGATTAGTTTTATGAGTGTATATAATGTTTTTATATCGCTGTTTGAAGTCACAATTTTTAAAATACATAAAAAATAATATGACTGCATTATTGCTGCATGTAAGCTTCAAAAATAGGAGTCATATCACAGATATTGCATTCTGTATATAAATTCAATAACCGCTATCATCATTAATGCTAAAAGTATACATCTGAAACTGCTAAAATAATAATTTTTTTTTTTAAATTTAATGAAATTTTAATACATATTTTTATTTTTTTAAATCTTTTTAAAACTTTAAACCCCAACAGAGCCACCATCGAAGTTAATCGAGTGAAGAAAAAGGGCACGATCGATACAGTAAGTACGAAATTTATTTGACTGAAGGAATCGATTTCGTCACTAATTAATTTCACTTTACAGTGGGTTTCTTTGGAACAAGCGAAGCATGGTATGGTTCATTTGCGATTAACGTGGCTGCAATTTTCGAAAGATCCTGCTGACTTGAAAGCTGTAAGTAGGAGAATATGCATATATATTTCTGTGTTATGTAAATTATTTATATATATATGAATTAACTTTTAATTAATAATTCTTATGCAGGCTTTAAAAGAAACTCAGGAACTTAGAATTACATCGATGAGTACAGCTCTTCTCACACTTTATGTTGATTCTGCCAAAAATCTACCGGTATGCAAATTAGAGATACATATAAAAAGTGCAAGAACTATTTAGTTTTAACACAAAACGTTCTAATGTGCTTACATTTGCAGTGTATTCGAGGAAATAAACAACCCGATGTTTATTTGGAAGCGAGTGTTGGTGGAAAGAAGGAAAAAACAACTACTGTGTTACGTTCTTGTGATCCTGTATGGGAACAAGGATTTATCTTTTTAATCAGCAACCCTGAGACTGGAGTTTTACACATAAAGGTTATTTATGCGTTTGTTTAGATAATATTACAAAACATAAGATTTATTCTTATTTAATAATAATTTTAAAAAATGCTTGTTTATTTCTTACAGATTACGGACGAGAAAACTACCATGATAGTAGGAGAAATGAGTTATAATATTTCCTTGCTTTTGGAAAAGAATAATCTTGAGGTGACCCAACAGCCATACAATTTGCAGATGGCTGAAACGGATAGCAAACTTGTATTGTCAATGTCGTTAAATGTAAGTATTGAAGATTTTTTATGCGCAGCTTAATGTAACCAGGCGTATCAATCTAATGAAACATGTTTTGATAGATCTTGAAATATATACATCCTGAACCTACATCTGAAGAAGATGACGATGATCATGATATCAATCAGTTGAATAAACGAATCGAACGTCAGGAGTCTAACATTAGTAATATGTTATCTTCTAGTGGTGAGTATAAATTAAGTGCAATTAAGTGGCGATGCTAAAAATCATATTTTTGAATTTTTTCTATAAGAAGACTTTTCTAAATGCATTTTTCACAGTGCCTTCTAGCCCTCTTAAAAGGCAATCTTCAAAAGAATCAGTTAACAGCCCATCTCGTAATGTTGGATCTGGTGCAGTGCTTTTGTCTGAAGAATCAGCAGCGGTAGAAGAAGAATTAATAGTTAGCACTAGTGCTCCGTCCTCTTTCGCCGAAAGCTCTCATCTTATTCATAGAAATCCAAGCGTGACGTCTTCTCTGGGCGAAGCAAAACTAGGCAGGATACAATTGACTTTACGTTACAGTGTACAGAGACAGAAATTGATTATTGTCGTACACAAAATTGCGTAAGTGAATTAATTATTTGACATTCATCGAGTGAATCCAATTAATATTATCTTCATTCATTAATATTATCTTCTACATTCTTCTATATCTTATATTTCAGTAACCTGCCACTCCCACAAAATGATCCGCACAATATACCGGATCCGTACGTGAAACTCTATCTTTTGCCGGACCGACATAAGGAAACAAAGCGCAAAACTGCCGTAATGAAGGACAATTGTAATCCAACGTTTGATGAACAATTCGAATATGTCGTTTCGCAGGGAGATTTAAGCACGCGCACATTAGAAATATCTGTATGCACTCAAAAGGGTTGGTTGTCGACCGGAAGCAACGTGATGGGACAGATTCACGTCAAATTGAGCGAAATTGATGTTTCAAAGGCGATTACCACTTGGTACGATTTACAACCGGAAATCAAAGACTAGAAGAAAAGGAGAAGTAAGTGGGGATTCGAGCGGTTGTGCGTCTGTTTGACGAAACAACCGATTAAATTGCCACTTAATTTTTACAAACGATGAAAGTCTCAAATATTACATTTACGTTTATATTTCATTGATCATATTGTTCAACGATTTATATACGTGAATATATACATATATATTTAAAGTGCTAAATATGAGATGCAAGATGTCTTTCGAGAAAAGATCTTACTTAAAATATTTTGTACTTACGCCGTCCAATGGCATAAAATGATCTGAGATATAATGACATAAAGAGCATTAAACGGGAGCGGATTGGTTTAAATAATTTAGCTTAATATAAATTTTATTATATAATAGTAATATAAAATGTTTTAATACAATACAATACACGAAAAGATTCAATCTTAACGAAGACTTGTAATTTTATATTTGTTAAAGTTTTCTTTTTCCTAAAATTGTGTTAAATTTTAAAGTAATTAAACGCTGGACGTTTAATTAAAGAATTTAATAATGTAATATTTGTAAATAACTATTTGTAATATGTGAGTTATGAATAATTATATTAGAATTTTATAATTATAATTGAATCTCAAATTTATATAAGCAGTATATTGTGAAAACTTCTTCAATTTTTATACCAATCCGCGTCTGACATTAAATATATTTTATATTTTTCTTTATGTGAGAATTAACAATCATACTGTGGCACAGAATGCACAAGATATTATTATGTAATGATCTGAGTACGCACTGTATTTATCACGATTGATTTTTACGCTTATGGATATTAGTCTAGGATATAAGTTTCTTTTTGTGTTTTACATCTTTTCCTCATAATATTTTAACACCATTTTGTTACTAATAAAATCGGAGGAATGCATTTACGAATTACACAATTTAATAGATGCTTTTATCAACACTGTTGGTCTAATGACACAATTTGGTTCACGTTTTATAATATATGTCTTATTGAAGATATATACATCGATATATAGGTTTATATAGTTTAAATATGTTAATTAATATTAACATTTTTGAAATCAAATTAATATATATACGCGTTATATTTGTATGGGAAAGTTTTTGCTATATATTATATATACACACATATATAAATATACACTTACATACATATATCTATACTCTGTGAAAGGCAACTGTTAATAGTGTCACAAATTGTTGAGTACAATAAATATACGCATTATCATTATTCATTGCTTTGTATTCATATTAACATAGCAATTAAATTTCCTGCCCTGCGATTTTTCTATTATCGTAAAAATCTATTGCAAAATTAATAATATGCAAATATGTATGAAATATTCTGCATATTAAGTCTCTAGCAATTAGGTGATTAGGTGAAAAATAATATATACGCCATAGTGTGATGTATTGCACGTTCTCTACCGTATAGACCCAACAATCACCAAGGAAACTGATATAAATATAGTGCTCTTTATCAGTGATATTCTCGTCGTACGGAGCTTTTATATAAACTGTATACTCGTTCGTGCATTTGTAATGAATTTAACACATTGATTTAAGTGCGAATTTATAGAATTTTTATCAATATGCAGCGAGCATCGATATTACCTTGTCTTCCAGGTTTTAGCTTTGATAGGAACGTGAGTACTATTATATTTACGACACACATAAAAAAATAAAATAAAATGTCACATAGTTATTATTATTTGTAAGAAATTATTGCAAAATATAGTTTGTCAATACAAAATGCAATAAATATATTAAAACGTATAAATAAGATTTATAAATATATACTTATCTATAGCTTAATAGAACCAGATTTCATAAAAGCCAACTTTTTGACAAGATACATGGAGTTTATTATTTATCCGAAAAAGCAGACACGACTGTTCACAGTCGTTACTCGTCCATTTGTCCCCGAGGGGAGGCACAAGAAATTCCGCCATGGCTCGCATATGATGGCCAAGTATGATTGACAGTAAATGAATTTTGTTAATTAATTTATTAATTTTGTTTTCATATAATATATATTTTAAACAAACACATTTTTGACATAATACTGTACAGTGATTATGATTAAATATCCAATAGATAAAATAAACTTTTAAACTGTTTTTTAGCGTTACTCATTTTGTTATGATTGTGTTTTTAGAGACTCAAGTTCAAAGCATTTTTTCAAGAGACTGTGCAAGAAAAATGGAAAATGGCCTTTCACATTCGTGCGGTGAACATTAGCTTTTTCCTAGAGGATGGAACAATGAAAATCGTAGAGCCGTCTGTGGACAATAGTGGCCTTGAGCAAGGTTCAACGGTGCATTTCTTTTTCAAATGTTTCTGTTGCTATTTTATCAGTAGGATAGAATACTTAATTTACTTAATTTTTATGTTTCTATTTACTTTTGCATATTTATATTATATTTTAAAATTGTAGTGAAAAAGTTAAAGTGGAAATAAGTATTTATAATTATTATAAAATATGAAGCAACTTCTGCTATAATAGTTATTATAATTTTCTAAACGAAGGCGTCTTGGTCAGACGTCAAAGAATACCTATACCCGATCCAGTGAAATATCGATATTATGATATACTTGACTTGAATATCGGTAAAGAACCCGAGATATACGGCCGAGTGTACAAAATTATAGACTGCGATAAATTTACAAGGCAATTCCTCAATCGCATGGGAATACCAGTGCCCGATCCAATCGATTTACCAAAGGATCCGTATTCCGAAATTCGAAAAGTCGTAAGTATAGTTTGCAACAGATAAATTTGGAAAAAAATATGTTTAAATCTTAATAAAATCCCCTTTTTATCTGTTACTCTATACTTTTTAGCGATTTTTATTTAATTACATCAAATTTATGTCATCATTATATTGTATATTGTACAGGAAACATTTCCAAAAAAGCCTGGTCACACAACAAGTACTCTGGGCAATTTTTTAAAATACGATAGACAAGTGCTCCGATTTTATGGATATTGGGATGATACCGAGAGTCCTCATGGTATCATTCACGATCTCGAACTGCATTATTATCTTTCTGATAATACAATGGACATTAAAGAAAATGTGCCATCGAACGCTGGTCGAGATTCGGGTCTCATGTTCGTCAAAAGAATGAAAATACCGAAAGTATGATGCTTTGAGAACTGTAATGTTATTACAAATTTTAGTACATTATTTAAAAGTTCCCTACACAAATTCTTGTGTTAAATAATGTGCTACAAAATTATATTGTTATTTTAATAATTTTAAACCACAAATGTGCTATTTATACTTAAAAAACACCTTTTTTTTTAGTTTTATACTGGCTTGCAACCGATCGGGGTACAAGATCCTTTCACGATTCTAAACGTCTTAGGCGAAAATGGAGCAAAAAATTATTACATAGCGGATTCTCTGGACACCGGTAAGGTCACTGCCGATTATTACAAAGATAACGAATTGAGCATAGGGGCGGAAATCAACGTTTTCGGTAGAAGAATCGTCATCACGGACATGGACGCTTTTACGAAGAAATATTATCGGTAAAATTATTGAAATTTTCCGTATAAATTTTATCTTTATTAGAATCTACATATTATTTTAATAATTTTTAGAATAAAGTACGGTTTGGACGATTTTGCGCCTCTGATACGACCTCGAAGAGATGACGAGCTGTGCCAGAAGATGGAGAAATACATACCACCCTACAATGGCTTTGGATCGTATGATGATTCTCTTGGTAATTGTTTCACGATGATACCAATAGCACCAAAGACAGATTTCATCAAGTTCTTGTACCACGACAGGTGAGTCACGTAATGTACTTCAATAATAATTTTTTCTATTTATCTAATTCTATTTTTTTTTTTTTTTGTTATTATTTCAGACAGGGTTTTAACAGTCACGTTTTGAAATTCCGGGCGAGAATGATATCGAAAATTCCGGATAACGAAGAAAGACTATTTGTTATAAGAGTATTTCTCGTGGATGACACGATATCAATTTTCGAATTAGCAAAACGAAACTCAGGTATCTGCGATACTTTCAAGAAGCTTGAAAAATTCTATTAAAGATTTGTTCCAAATGTATTTATCCCATAATTAAACTAGGCTTTCCGAGATCTTCATTCCAAAAACGAATGCCGGTAATGTTGCCCGGTCAGGATATTTTTACAAGCAAAAAACCGGAATACTACAAATCACAAGATTTTTATGTAGGAGCACGCATAAACCTGCGCAACTTTCATTTCGAAATTACGTCTGCGGATAATTATTCCCTCCGTTACATGGAATTACATTGCGACAAGGTTCTCATAAAAATACATTCATATTTTGCTTAACAAACCTAAACTTTAAAACTATATAATTAAAGTATAAAAATTCAAATGTTTTAGTGAAATTATTACTTTCAAAACTTTGCTTATTATATTGTACATTTTACTAAAAAAAAAAATAATTTTTTTTATTATAGTTTCCTAAAGCGAATAAGAAACTGATAATGGACAAACTTCGAGAGCACTTACAACCATTGTATACCGAGTTCATTCAAGTGTATGCCCCGCCTAAAGATGCGAAAGATAACATTCGAGTGCTGAAATATGAAAAACTCAAGTACGTATAAAATAATTTATATCTTCCCATTTGCGCGTAATTTATTCATCTCTTACGATTTACATTTTTAGAGAAGCGTTACACCGGTATCTGGGAGACAAAATAGTAGAACATGAAATAATTACAATTGCGCGATACTATTCATTTCATGAAAAAATGGAGTGTCAATCGAGAGAGAATGTAAGGTGAGTGAATCTGCTATACGATTTTATATAAAACATACTAAAATTGTCATCACTTCTTTTAATAATAGATATTAAAATACAAAGAAAAATTTTTTTCTTTCTTTTGTCAAAGAGTTCTGAAATATTAGAAATATTACATTTAAAAATAAGGAAATATTATCTGTCTGTAATAAAATAAAATTATTGATTATATTTGAAGACGTTTGTTACACACGGAACTATATCGATTTCTATGGCACGATCTCGATCGTTTAAAAGAGGATCTATATCATTGGGACAGAGATAAAACAGGATTTCTACCTCGAGAATCTTTGTACACGATTCTGCGTGGTTGTCGGATTCCCGTCGACGTGGAATTATTAAATTCTATGTTGGATCAGTAAGTTTAAATAAATTTATAATTCAATTATTTCAATTTGTTTTGAGTTTAACTATTATAACATAACGCATTATGATCCTGTAAAAGTTTAAAGAAAAACGAAGACGGCAAAATCGATTACAACGATCTACTGAAATTCGTGAACGTAAAAATTGACCCTTTGCCACCAGCTGCACCCGCAAATATAAAGGTATGTTTACTAATTTCGTGTATATGCAATCTGCTATTGTATTTTTAAATCTATTTTTTACATCTTGCTGATATCGATAAATTATTTATATTGCAATAAAACAAAAGCAGTAAAAAAAAAAATCATGCAAAACTTGAAGCATATTGTTTATCGCATCACATTTATAATTTGCAGACAGCTCTTTGGTGGGCATATGGAAAAGAATCGGATTACGGAGATGAAATAAACTGGTGCGAGTTCACAAAGGATATGGATATAAAGATCGATGAGAACGCAAAGCCGGAGGTCAGCGAAAATACAGAAATTTAATTCGCGCTGAGACACTGACACTTCGAGTATCAAAATACAATAAAACAGTATTGCACATTTGGTTTATACAAAATATTGTACTATATTATATTAAAAAAATTATTGATCTTTATTTAATCTTCCTTCCTGCAAAGAGCAGCGCGAGCAATGCACTGATATTTTGCGAATATATGAACATACATTTTTCTTTCAACATAAATAGTTTTGAATTCAAAGAACTTTACATCTTACCTGAATATATACCCTTAATAGTACCAGAAACAGATTAGAGAGGTCACTGAAGATCACGGATCAAGAAACAAGATGGCGCTATAGCGTGATGCTGTTTATGACGTATTTTACAGTTGTATACAGTGTTATAGATACATACAGCTGTATATTTTTTATTCACTATTGTGCATAATTATCACATTGTAGTCGATACACATTTATTTTGAAAATGAAGAAATCACCATTGAATTCTCCATATGATGGTCGTGCATATGGTGCAAGGTCTACGCCGTATTGGAAATTACAAGAAAATGCGAATAGTAGAGGTTATCAAGGTGTTGAGAACAATAGTTATCATCGTTTATCTGTAAATAATGGTCCACAAACTTGCGGGGGTGATTTTATTCCTTTAAACATTAGCACACCTGTAGGACAGCATAGAAAGAACAATGCTAATCAGTATAACACTGGATGCAGTAGTCCTCGTGGTGGATGGAGAAACAGAAATAATTATCAGAACACTCCAAAATCAAACTGCAATAATAGGTATACTGCTTACAACCAATTTTATGGACAGAAATCAAAAGTAAGTTTAAATCCTTGATCCTAAATAAGACATTTCATTGAATGATGAACTATATTTCTTATATTGCAATATTATCCCAATTATGATTTTTTCAATAAAAGAAAAACAGATAAATGATATCTCATATAATTGAACATAGTATATAGATGCTTGATGAAATAAATTTTAATTTTGGAGTGTTTCTAATTTGTGCTAATGCGGGATTTAAATTCCGTATCTTAATCTTTAATTTATATTATGTGTCTATTGTGTTTCTTGCTAAAAAGTATACATTAATAATTATTATAAACTACTTGAATTTTTATTTTACATTAATTTTTAGGGTTTCAAAGGAGGACAAAGGCAAGCGAATATATCAGCATATGTTGATATTAATTCCTTTTTCGAAGATCCTTGGGAAGGTTTAATGAAAAAATTAAATGATTCGAATCATAAAAGTGAAATGCTTAACGATAAATCTCTATCTAATCCAAAATTAGCTGATAGTGATTCTGTAGAAAAGTTTGATAGCAAACTTCAAGAGGACACAAATTTGAATAATTCTCAGTACAATCAAAAATCTGAAAATGAATCTTCTAATGCTACAAGTTTTAATACAGAGAATACAGATCTCAGTCAAGTATCGAAGAGCAATAGTTCAATAGATTTAGGTGCTGATACTTGATTTAATCAAGATTTACTGGATGAAAGTACATGTACCAAAAAAAAGTTTATGGAGTTGTATAAGAAAAGAATATAATATTTATTCAAATGGATTATTGTCAGATACTAATAAAAAAAATGTATAACAATGATAAAGAATGAAGGTTGTTGTACATATGATTGTATACTTGTATATAGGTGTTATACATGTGGCATTAATGAATTAATAATAGATAAAACATAAACATTCTTTTTTTAAAGATGCAATTTTTTTCTTGGGAATAAGTTAATCATGAAACTATTCGAAATGCGCGCACGTGATATTTTATACAACGTGTACAACATATTTTATTGTCTTGCAGATTATTTTCACAATTTGGCTGTGAAAAGAATTTAGTTTATTCGACAATTATATGTGCAATTTTATAGTACATATTCTGAGTCTACCAAACATGTAAAAATTTTTATTAAAACGGGAAAACAGTAAATATCAATTCATTACTAGTAAATTAAACTATAAATTATTCATGGAAGAATTGGTCAAATTGTAAAATTTAAAATAAAGCATCTGTAAAATTTAAAAATGTATGTATAAATATAAAATTTGTTTATATTGTTAGTTTTAGATTTCTAAAGTCTTTGTTGACTAATTGAAGCAGAGCTTAGATTAATTCCTCATTCATTTGCGTAAATAGTTTGCATTTATTTGTATTATTTTTATATGGCAAATCTATCATCTAAGATGTATTAAGGTATAACGGCAATATGTTTTTTTTATATATCTTCGTTTTAAATTTTAAGCAAATTAATTTTACGTTAGATTTCTTGATATTGTTCAATAGAAATATTGAAAATTTAGGCAAAAAGAAATTTTTGCTGAATACTGGCCTTACACTTATCTTTCATTAGATATTTTTAAGAATCTATTTCTGTTTGATTAAATTACTGATTTAAATATCATAATAATTAAATATATCTTATGATTAAATAGTAATTAATATATAAGTTAGTAATGTAAGAAGTAAATGTACATGTAGATCTTATTTTGACTGTACCATGAATGTAATGTGCTACAATATATTGCTGGAATATATTACGACTATATTTTAATGTTACATTTTTGGAACTAAGCAAATAAAAACGAGATTTTAGCTTTTATTTTGAATAAGTGTAATTTCTTTACTCACCTTTGGTTTAATTTTACATTTACAAGTAACCAACAAAACTGAGCAGATCTAACACAGTAATAAATATACAAATATCTTATTATTTCTACAGTACCAGTTATTTTAAGGGTACAGCAATAAAAATGTCTATAAAAAATTATATAGATATATATTTTTTTAATTGTCATAAATCAAGTTGGTACAGGACGTGATAGAGTTTCGATAAAAAGTCTCACTTGGGCTATCTAGAAGAAGGATCGGCTATAAAGTTTTTAATGTAAATAAAATAGTTTTCGTTCCCCGTTATCATATTGTGTCCGTTCTTTCATGTGATCAACGTAAGTCGCACATGCACACTCACACTTTTAATTACAACAGTTGCTTGCTTGGAAAAATATATTTTAATCCTTAACCAGCATAATAGATTTTTAAAGGAGTTTTATAAAAGGTAATTACGCAGTGGTAAAAGTTACTGATATGTTATGCCTTTACTCTAAAAATAGTTTTTCATTTATTTTGCTGTTTCCATTTTCCTTATTTTAAAAATATATAATTATTTTTTGAAAATTTTAATTTTTATATTTCTCATGTGAGAGTCGTAAAAATCCTCTTAATTAAATACGTATAATACAAACTAATTTTGTTTCTTCTCTGCTTGTTCCGTATATTACGGGATTAAAATAAATAATGTATTAAATTCTATGAAAACAAACATTTTTATTCTCTAATAGCTATTTTATGTTCTACAAAAACTAAATCATTCAATAAATTTTTATAGAACTCCACTGTGAGGTTCAAGAATTAATTCTACGATCTCGTCAGGTGTACGATTTCATTATACTGATTAAGGATCAACACGCTCGGGTCAATGATATTTCTGTTCTGTTTCTTACAAGACGGAGCGTGCAATACGATATGTTCGTGAACCGAAAATGCACGTACGAAAATGTACGGATCGTACGCAGAGTATAGATCGCATATATATATCGCATATATTTGCCACTCTACCAGGAGTTTTAAGCTAGCCTCTAAAATTAGATTCGATAAATCACAGGTTTAGAATTTATAATGTGTCTCGAATTGACGGATCTTAAGTCTATGTTTAGTGTCCACGGAGTATTATACTAAGGTGCTCCCTTCTTTTTTCAGTTGTCAAGCGTGATTGCGGACAGCGAGGATTTTTCCTCCGCTGTCCGGACGAATATAGAGATATTTACATGCAAATATACACTGAATTATACATAGATAAAAGCGAACGTTATGCATGTTTTCCGTCGCGTCGTCGTTTCACACATCGAGGGAAAAGAAAGCCGGGAGCATCGTTGTCGCGTGGATGATCATAATGATCGTTGTTGATCAAATTCTACCATGTTTAATATAATTCTTAGGCATATAGGTCATCGATGATAGAGGGTGCGTATGTATGTACATAAATATTTAAAGATTGAGAGACAAAATGAGTACTTAATACGCAATTTTATTATAAAACAAAATAATTTTATAAATCTGTTCAAAATAATACTTATATTTTTCTGTAAGAGAAACATCAAATTTTTCGACAATTTCACGAGAATTTATTTTTATTCATTCTATTATTCTTTTATGTATGATATAATCTATTGATAATATTTTAAATATTTTCATATTTCTGAAAATAATTATCAGATCACTATATTGATGACATCATGATTTAAATGTTAATACTTATTTAATGATAGTAAATGATGTTTATATATAAGAGTTGAATACGATCTGGATACTTTACTGAATACGATCATAAAGTATTTTTTATTGTTATTTATACTTAGCTTTTAGTTATTGATTTACACAGTTAAAAATTTTCCGATGTACACATCTTTCTTTCATTCGCACCCTCGATCGATCGAGCACTCTCGTCATGTAGTATTGATCGAGATATAGATCAATATGATCAGAATCTACATACAAGTATACGCATGTGTATGTATATAACATACATACACACACGAGAAGAGATACAGTAATATTAGACGGATATATTTTTTTTTTTAAATTGCTTAATTCAGATTTTTCTAAGACTGCGCTTTTTGTAAGAGAATATGGATTCTTTTTTTAATTACTTGGTCTCTTTGTTTAAAGCTATAATTATCAACGTTTGGAGGTAATTGAATTCTTCGATTTCTTTCGCATACACGCGCACGTATAATGCATGAAATTCATACTTTGATTCATCTTGCAATTTATTTATTTTATTAATATTTAATGAGTTCTCTAACTTCAGTAAGCAAAATGTTAGCAATATTGATTCTTTCAAATCAACAGCAAATTTAATTAAATATTTATAAGATTTTTAACAAATTAAAAATTTTATGCATAAAATTTTATAAATCCTAAATTAAAAAAACATTATAGTGTAGAATAAAACTAAATATGACTAATCTACATAAAAAGCTGAAAACCAAACGTTTAATTAGATAATTTGATACACAAATGAATCTTAGCATGAACTTCTCAGTGTATTTGAATGTATCCTTCCGTAGATGTATAAAAACTTAATACTCTGGTAAGAGTGAAACAATTACATCGTCGCTCTTTTGTCGATTAGTTTGTAACACGTGAAGTATTTATAAGTACATATACAGATAAATATGCGTATATGTATATATTCGAATATACAAATATTAGACGGCCATTAGCCGCTGGTTCCACGACTCCACACACTTATTATAATACGCTCTATACATTGTGTTTTTAACACGAAATTTTGAGCGAGAGATTACGCGATGCAAATCATAGCCATAATAGACAGATGTAGTAGCCCATATTTCCATCATGCATAAAAAATTATTATCTTTGAAAGAACAAAAATTGTTTTCTATTTAGAAAAAAAAAATTAAAAAACTCGAGATTGCTAACAAGATCTTAATAACAAGACCTGTTCACCTAATCTTCCAAGTTGACAAAGCGGAATATGTAAATTCTATCTTTCGTATATATACGCTCAAGCGACGATGTGGAATTGATCCTCCGATATATATAATTCCATGTTTATACTTTATCTGAAAATTATACAGAGTGTGTTGGAAATTGTATTATCGTATTGTCGTAGCATCGTATCGTAATATTTTGATAATCTTTACTAAGATGGATTCGACGATATCACATCACATGGTGACACAAAATTCTTAGAGATCACTGAAACTTATGTATCTAAATGCAAATGTATATTATTAATTTGCAAATTTTTAAAATTAATTAAAAAAAAAATAAAGTATAAAAAAAATTTATTTCAGACTTACTCTGGTAAAAAATTATATCCTATTTTATCACGATTTTCGATACACTCTGTATAATACAATTTACAATAACATCTATATATATTTATATGTTATTCGCGCACGTATTATCTGATACGTATCAAAGTAGAATAAAAATCAATCCACAGTTGTATTGTTGTGTATATGAATGATTTTAAATTCTGAGACGTATCCTAAGGTTAAAAAAAAAGCGTCGCTCGTGCGTATGTTTAATTAATTATATATTTATTCTATGTTGGTTGTGGATATTTACACGCATATTACGCATATTACGAGAGAAAGGAACGTATGAGCCGCTTAGTCACGACCCATGGCAGATCGATGAGTGAAGTAATGAGAATATACGACAACCTATGCGATCGCGAGAGAGTATTAAGATATATTATCGATATTTTTTTACGCAGTTACTATAATGAATGTAAGTGCGCTCGTCCATACACTGAGGCTTTTGTTTAATACATGCGACAATATTCGTGCGGAGATTCAAGGGCAGCCTGGATTATCAATTGTACGCTATATTTTGAAAATTTATAACAATATTGAAATTTAATACTTGACATTGATAATAATAAGAATTAATTTTACAAAAAAATTAATTTTTGTAATAAAAGCTCATAAGATATTTATTTGAAGTAAAAATGTATAAAGTATCATTATTCTATCGAAAAGGAAGCTTTGACTTTATTAATTCGATGTTTTGTGCTATGTGCCGTTTTAAAGAAGAATCTTAGTTCCGAAAATAACCTACTCTCAACTTAAAGCTTACAGTATTTTTATTATATTAGGCACTCACACTTTGTGGAATTATAGATGGAAAACACTGATTTAATGTCGATAGATGTATTCATAAATAAAATGATCGTAAAATGTATATGCATAAATTTATGTGTATAATGGACTAATTAAATACACACAATATACAATTATTTTTATTAAACTCTTTCGTTTACGCTACTTAATTAAAAAACCAAAAGTAAAATTTAATCAATATTGATATGTTTCAGTTAATTAAATTAAATTTATGAGACTGATTAATAAATAAGTTCTATGATTTATACAATATAGTATAATTTTATCTTATAAAAATTTGTTGTGAAATACTTGCGAGCAAAAGTAAATACTTCTTTACAAATACAATACGTATAATTGGTCCCCAAACTTCGCGGTTGTAAATTATCCGCGTAATGATATCAAGAATTTAAAATCTTCAAAGATTGGATTATGACGATATGTACAAGTGTAAACGAGAACAAGTCTGCTAAATATTTTTACTTATTCTGTAATTACAAATAATACTTTAATGTGTTCGAAAATCAATCTTTTCATGAAACATGATTAAATTATAAATTGTCATAAGTAAAAAAGTTACATTAAAATCGTGATGTAAAATCAAAATAATATCAGAATAATTTGAATATGAAAAACTTAATAAACGTTGATTTTAATTATTCTCAATATCTCGCAGTTATGAATCATAATACTTTTATAAGATTTAAGAAAAGATTTGATGGTGTGTTTGTAGCAAGATTTTTACCTATTCCAATGTTTTGTTTATTGTAAAAACTTGACCATATATTTTCGTATAAACATTTCTGCATGTTCTAATAAACAAAATTAATTTTCGTAAATATGACCCTTTCTTCCTACAACAATTGGTCCAAAGATGCGAAGTTGAGGAAGATTGGCAGCGGTGAGGCACGTGTTTCGTATAGTAATGATTGTGATCATGGAAAAAGCTGATGCAATTGCTCTCTAATCGACCGTTAAGGCGCTGTGTCATGGGATAGGGTTCTTGATAATCCGGAGCACGTAATCACAATTTCGCACGAATATCTGTCGCACACATTATTACACAATCTATATTGTTCCCACGTTATGAAGTAAATCCTGATAAATGGTAAACCGGCCGAAGGAGAAATTTTTTTCTCAATATTCCGTCCTTTTGAAGAGAGAAATTCTTGTAGTTCATCCGCGATAGAATCTCTTATCAAGAATCGCGCTTTCGCGTGCACTTAAATGAAGAGCTTTACAATCGCGTAGATACCTGAAGATGTTAAGTTGTTTCTAAAACTTTGCTTAAGTCGTAGACAAAATCAATGTACAGCTTAATTATATGTGAAAATGGATTAACGTGTATTTTCTTAGAGTAAAGTAAAATTTTTGCTAGGAAACTTTCTGCTATCAACATCACTAAATAATTTTATCCTACTTCTTTTTCGTCTTTTATTATATTTCCAATATTGACATATATGTAATTAGATGATACAACTTGGCCTTTAATTGATGATTAATATTATCATGAAAATGTTATTAAGAAATTTTAGTATGATCTGTATAATTAATTTTCATACAGCATAAGATTAACTTACGTAACTGTTCGGTTTGCGCAAAGAATTAGAATATATTTCGAACTTTCAGGTATTTACACGTCGAAAATTTTCATACGCGAAAATGCGGAATTGTCGCTTGGAAGAGACAATGCGAAAATAAATCAGTTCTATAAGCGGTAACGCACCTAACATATAGGATGCTTTTGACCACAGTTGCACGTTTTCTTAATAAATTACCACTGATTCAAGACATTCTATATGTTGCGATACATGCCGTACGATGATATAGTATTTTAAGTGGTCGAGGTGTATAATTTCGAGTACTCAAGATTGCATGTTTACTTTTACTACTGAGAAACGAGAGATACATATACATATACATACGTTCGATGTAGTTAAAGTAATTTAATTGCACGCTAGAATTATCGCTAGCTTTTCGTGCAAGTAAGATGCAAACTGTATGATCCTTATCACTTAACTCAGAATAACATTTCCGGGACGTCAAGCTTATTACGGGCTAAAAATGTGCATTTATCACAGACGTTTTGGCCCATATAGGCTTCGGTAACGTGGAAATGCGCGAAATTTATTCTTTGGATTTCGATCGATATTCAAAATCCCTTAATAAAATTATATATGCGTGATTAATATTCGAGTATTCTTTCAACTCTTTTAATGATATGCGATATAGATGCATATATGGTATATTAGTTTAACATTATATGTTTAGATACCGTATAATAAGATAATATGAAAATAACTTGCAATTTCGACTAGTATTGTAGTTTGAATATAATTCTTCATATTATGATGATATTTATTTCATGTTTACGTAATTGAATTTTGCAACAGCCAGTTTTATCCGGTTTTAAGATATGATATGTTGTTTTATGCTAACTTTGTAAGATAAAATATTTTATGACACAACTTTAAAGATTACCGAGAGAGAAGTCTAGAAATTCATATATCAACAATATTTAAAATTCATAACAAAGCGACATATATTTAAGAATAAACAGCCAGTCTTTAATCTGTACATAACTTTACTATTAAATTGAAACAATCTCCATATCTAATTTCGGAATTAGAATACTTGAGTTTCAGTATTGCTGAATTCTCATATTCTCATTAATAACGAATTTTATAGTACGCGTAGAAAGAAGAAATGTAAAGTGTGGAAGAAAATATATACGCATTATTACGCATTTGTTCGTGTATAGAGAAGAATGTAGGTAAATCTATAAGTAAGCAATCTCTCAATACATCAAAATATATAAGATTCTAAAAGTAAAAATGTGCAGCAAGTTTATTATAATTCTCACTCGCGTCCGAGACTTCAAACTGACAGCTTGTGAGCGTTTTCCATTAAGTCAAATTAATTGGAGTTTCAATTAATTCACATTAGCGATAATAAAGTAACGAAATTATCCACCAAGCCACATTATGCTCTAAAAATAATATGATACAAAAGGTGGTCAAATATGATCCTTGCCTTTATATTTTTCGTGTTATGAAAAATATAGAATTTAACACCAATTGTTTTCTAATATACGTATATGTATATAACATCCCCAGGAGACTTTTAAAGTATTGGAAAGAGTATGATGAGCAGAGAGACATTATGTTGAAAAAAATAATCGATATTTAGCATAATACCTATAACATGTTAAGAAATAAAATCCGATCACAAGCACACACACCAATGCGAATACTCCTCGTAGCTGCGCAGTTCCTATGATATCATACAAGTAGCAAATATATTTCTTTGAATCCTTCTAAAATAGATACGTACGAGAGTACCGCTTACAACGAACAGAGACAAACCGCATGCAATCGAGAAATCCGCGCTCTCGCTAAACTTGTTCGGATCGATCATGATCCACCGAAGAACGTGACGCGTAGTCGATTCCGCGCAGAACGATTGGTGATGCACAGCGAATACTCGAGGGAGGCAAATCTTGTCCGGACGCGAGATCGCGTAACACACGATTAACCGCGCGATTAAGAACGAGACTGGACCGGGATGAGAGAATTGGCCGGGCGAGTTACACGAGGAGCTCCTTCAGGAAGTCCTCGGCAAGCAAATCCTACAAATAGTCATCAACGCGTTCGCTCTCGTCTGGCGGACTAGGTTCGCTCACGCTGAGAATCGGCAGACCGAAATGCTGTACCTCGATACTCGATTCCGTGGTTGCCCGCCTCGCGTAGTCGCAACTCTTCGTGTGTCGGTCGGTGTCCGCGCGACGACGATAATGATGATACCGTGGCGGACGAGTGACCTCGGTATCGTATGATCGCCGATAACACCTGCGGAATTTTCAAAATCGATCGACAAGTCAAACCAGAACTCATCTTGCGCTGAGATCACTGAATTTTGTGCAATTATATACGAGGGTAGTCCAGAAAGTAAAAGTAAACGCAATAAAAAGTGAAAAAAATGTATTACAAAACCAAATATAGAACGCTCTTAATTTATACACTAAATTATTTTTCTATGTAATCATACTTTGTCAACGCATTTGTGACATCAAAAGAGCTTAAATGCAGTTTAGAAGAAGAGAAACGCGTTGACACGCGTGTCTACTTACTGCATAATAACTTAAGGCTACACGTCACAAGAGACAAGGAGATATTATAGAATTTATTTATTTAAAAGTAAAAAATTTTTATTTTTATCAATTTTTGTTCTTTTACGAAAACATTCAGAAGGTAAAAAGTTTAATAAGGACAAAGATGAAATATAAAGTCACCGCGTAACTGAGCGTGTAGGAGGCGAAGTTCAATAATGTCAAGATATAAAGTACAGATTAAACAAGTACTTTGACAAATATAAAGATCACGTAAAAGGAATTACACAGGATAAGATATTTGAAATTACTCGTTGTGCGAAAAAATATTTCAAACATTGCAAAGAAAAACATACGATAATAATTACTTCTATTATATTTCGTTTATATATAGAGCATCTTCTGTTTTTTAAATAAAATATTCTATATTTTTTTACAAAAATCAAAAGAACATTTAATGCTAAACAAAAACAATAGTTTGATCTATTAGTCTAAAGTCGATAGTTACCGAAATATTTGCAGTGGAAATTTTTGAATTATTTAAATATATTGTATATTCGTGTATATCTAAAATGTGCTATTATTTAGTAAGAACATTCTTATTCAAGTTTTCTATAAAAAGATGTTTAGAGATATTCAGTTCACGCATTGTTGCATGTACGCGCATACACCCGCATTGTTAGCTTTGCATAAAGTTTGGCACGTGATCAAAACATTCTTTAACGAAGGAGGAGATATTTGTAGGACGAGACGACGTCATTTACGATGACATATTTATGATCGATAGCTTCAGGGAAATGCTTTGGGATATAAATATCAAACATTTATTATTAATTTATGAGGGGATGCAGTTTACAGACATTGTGCGAAATTATTTCAGGTGCAGATAAAGATAACTTAAGATAAGCTTAAAAAATACTAATAAAAATTTAAAAACCTTAATTGAGAAAGTAAAGAATAGCATCAACGCAAAAATATTCAATGGATTTTACAGGTCCCGTATACTCCAAAGTTAAGAAAAGTTATCTTGTAATAAAATGACAATCTATCATTAAAAATGAAAACGCTTAGAGGAAAGAGCAATTAGAAGAAAGGTGTTGAAATTGATACAGATTAATTTCTCAAAGTGTGTTAGAACAAAGTTATCTATTTGAAGTCAAGAAACAATATTACAAAAATTATATTTGATAGGTAGCAATCTCTAGTGTATTCAGTTAAATTCGTTAATATAAATTTTTATTTTTAGTTTTTAATTAAAAGATAGAGTTTAAAAATAAAACAGTGTCTTTCTTCTGCGGATTATTTTCTGTGTGCTTAAATTGTAGAAAGACAAAAGATTTTTACCGTTCATCCATGGAAGCAGGCTGCCGCACGGGGCATCTGACGTATTCGTGACTTCCGCTAGTACGCCATCCCCCGAAACGTCTGGTGACCAATGACGAAGATGCCACCGGAGAATCTCTGAAACGTGAGCAGTAATTATCCTTAACGCGCTGAAGGGATTAACTACTATAACTACCCGTGTAAGATTACATAAGGTGATATTTACACATCGTGATATTTACATGTAGAAATACATTGTCCGCAACCTATAATATTTAACATTAAATATCTTGATTGTAAAATTATAAAATAAACTTTTATGAAAATTAAATCAAAGTTGCAGTTAGTCAATAAATTAAACTTAGCTATCTGATTATTTACTCCAATTAATTTCACCTAATTTTTCATTTTTAATATTAAATCTTTATAATTTCACATAGCAGTCAGAAATATTGATCCACACTATTCCTAATGCAGGTTCAGTATAATTTCCTCATATAATTAATGATAATTTCGCACAAACTGTGAACAAAAAATCTCGTGTTGCTGGTGTTTCTCAATAATTAATCAACACGTTGACTGTATAAAATTGCCGAGCAATATTCACAGTAATAGCTCAACGAACGATAATAATCATAAGCTAAAGTTCTAAATGTCAAAAAAGAAAACTAGCAAGAGAGAGAGAGAGAGAGAGAGAGAGAAAGAGAGAGAGAGAGAGAGAGAGAGAGAGAGAGAGAGAGAGAGAGAGAGAGAGAGAGAGAGAGAGATAGAGAAAAAGAAAATGAAAAAGAGGAAAACAATTTACGTAACTACGACAAAATCTAGTGAAGAACAAAGGAATGCGTATATAGTATACGCGCAGCGCCTCTATAATTTATATCTCTGTATAACAGTTGCGTTAGTGTGTATGTAACATTGACATTATGTAAATGGTGCGATGCAGAAAGAAAAGCAGCACATTTGCGGAATATATCCAATGACATGCACGTGCACAGTCGACCATTGTAGAATTTAAACCTATATATACTTCGAGACATTTTACTGTATTATTGTTAAATTCAACCATGCTTTTGAAAATAATATTTTAAATTGAGTAGTGCAATATATGTCAAAAAGAAATAAAAAATTACAAAGAAATTGCAGCAAATCTTATACCTATATGCGCGGAATCAATTTTATCTTTATTTTATATTAATTTCAATCTTTGAATATTTTTCCAATAAAAATAAATATATTTTTTTTATACCCATTGAAAATAGATCTTTATAATGTTAAATTAATTTTTAATTAACACTGTTAGATCTATGTTTCGATAAAAAATTTTAATGCATTTAATAATTAATAAAACATTAACAAAATTAATAATATAAAATAATGTGTCATAATGTAAGATATGCACAAAGTATAAAACGTTATCTAAAAAGAAAAGATTAATGACGAAAAGCATAAAAAAGCTATTCCATTATATATAATAGCACCGCCATTCATTTGATGCATTTATAAATATTTATACGTAATCACGATGGTCGACAAGTCATTACAATGCAGGAAATAAAGCGTACAAATATTGAGTGGCTATAAATGGTAGAATTTGTTAACAGTCTTATACCTAGCACGGCAGGTGATATCGCATTCTGAAATTATGATCGATTTGCAGTGGAATGAGATAAAACGATGAGATATAGTAAAGCGAGGAGTGTAATAGCTATATTAATTTTTTCCATTACCTAATGTATGCAACTTCCAAGTCATATCGATTTTATTACTCTTTCTTATTATATCTGGAGGATTATTATTGTTTTTTTATTATATTCTTTTTCATTCTTGTCAATTATATTTTCCAATCTAATTCTTTTAATTTTCAGATGCTTTACAAATCTAAATAAATTTAATGTATCGACAAAGTTGCACAAGAGCTTGATCTAAATATAATCATAAGTATTAATTAAATATTTTATATTAACAAATGCAATTTGATAATATTAAAAATTGATTGGAAACAAAAGTAATTAATTCTATTCTGGAGTAACTTTATCGCCTCCCTTACAATTAGTAGTGAAAGGGTTAAATATTCTGCAAACGTGTACTTTTTTTTTTAGTAATACAAAGACTGCCAGCGTTATCTTCATGATGCTAATCGTTATTGTATGAGTCGCATGATTCAGCGATGAGAATACACGCAGAAGTGCCTGTAAAAGCGGAAGGTCGTGTAGCGCGATTGCAAAGGGTTACAACGTAGCGAAGTCATTTACATGCAAGGCGCGAGTCAAGTAGGCATCGCCTACTGAAATTGTGATCGATAGCCGTCCAACCGAGAGACTATGCATCGGCGGATCGAAGTAGCCGCGTTCCCGCAACAGTATATCGTTACATTTAAATTCCTCGGACCATCATTATCGTCGGTGCGCGCGCGCGCGCGCGCGTGAGACTATACGAACGAAAGCGCACCTGGCTAGATCGATGCGTTTACTCAGTATAAGTCGCACCGCGGAGTAGCAATCTGCATTTCTAATAACTATGTAGATTGTTTCGAGTGGCAATGAAGTCAACTATAAGACAAATTAAAATAGACATGCTGATATCAATAGATATTCTTTTTAACATGAATATTAGATATAAAAATCAGCAACAATATCTATAAATATTCATGAACACAAATATTGCAAATTTGGATTTATGAAATATACTTATTTAGGTTTAAATATTCAGAAAAATGGGAGATATTTTAAAAATATATAGAATAAAAATAGATAATTTTTTAGAATATATTTAAATAATTATCGATACTTATCAGTCAAAATTATTAATATGAAAGAGAGAGAATATTTTTTAATCAAATAAATTAGTTTAAAAAATTCGGCACACTGTGCAAGACACAAACAATGGAAAAAATGAACATATTTGGTTTGGAATTATATTTACATTGCTCGAATGCAATGTTTAATTTAATTTGATATAGTCAATGCACGCAAATTGTACAATATTTACGCTGAATGAAAACGCGTTGCAGTCTTGACAGAAGAATGATAATGTTTAATGAAATTACCAATATTGTGAGAATATCGTGTAAATATGCAATATTGTAATAAACATGCAATTTAAAAAGATGTATTAACTGCTGCGGAAGCGTAAATAAAATATAAAATTATAAATTATTATAAAAAGTAACGAAAAACAAAGCTTTATGAAATTAAGGAAAATTGTCTACATTTAATGCATTTGTTGTAATATGTCTTAATCTGCAATTTTAATTTTAATAATAGATTTTGAAGAAGCATTAGAACCAATTTTTCTTCTTGTTAAAATTAAAATTGTAGGATATTCTATATTTTTAATGTGCGACGCATTTTATATTTATCTTAAAACTCAAAATATTATATTTGTTAAAAAATGTCAAGATTAAGTTTCCATTTATACAATACAGACTGAATATTTATGAAATATGCACTATATGGCAGTGTATATAAATGTTTGTAAAATTATTTTAGACACTTGCAAGATACTTGTGAAGTAATAGTAAATTATGAGAAGATGAGTGAGAGAGTGAGATAAGAGAGTATCTAAAATCACGATGCAGCTGGAGCAATCTATCTTTCTCTACAATCAATACGAAGTTATTTCAAGTAAAAACGCGAGTTTTTAACAAGAATGTTATCACTTTTTTAAAAATATTTTATTTGCATATCTTAATTTTTCAAAAAATACCACATAATAGATTATTATCGGTGAAACAGGATAAAGGAAGAGTGTCCGTCCAAATCGTTGAATTATAAGGACATTGTCTCCACGCTGTAATTGGCAAATGTGAATTTTTTAGACAGTCTATTTAAATACGCTATAAAAAGGCACTGCGTTAAAGTATATTTAACTAGAAACACTCTAAGTCTAGTCAGATCTGGGTCTATTTTGTAATCAAGATATCATTCTTAAGAAAGCCTAAGCTATCATTTTTAAGAAAGTCTCTTTTTCATCAAAGCATCGGGTTGGAAAACATCAAATCTGAAATTTCGTACATACAATTATTGTCTAAATTGAATTTACCTCAAAGATGGCTGTTGATGACTGGGATCCAACAGCGATATTTCCGTATTGTCCTTCGTTGCACTCTCGAGACTGCTTTGTCTTCTCGAATCTTGATCCTCAGACTTGTCGTCTTGATTTGGTTTCAGGAAGGATTCCCGGTCGCCTTCGGCGTCCTCCTTAGAGTTTCTTCGTAGATCGTGGCGATTCGTTGATGCGAAAGGCAAGTTATCTGCACTGCGAACCTTACGACATAACTTCGACGTGGATCCGTGGCGGCGTAAAAATTCCTGAAACCACAAAGTATCGGACGTGATCAGAGGAAATTGTGCGACTTAATTGCGGCAACGTTTTACGTTTCTAGCAATACTAAACTTTTCTTGAACATTTCCTATGTTGTGCATTATCGAGTGTAATAAAATAAATATTGTGGTAAAAATAAAGTGACGCGTAAGTAAAACGAGGGAAATGTTAAAAGTGTATTTTTTCATGTGCTTGGATTGTACTAATTTTGAATTTAAATGGATTAAACATTGAGTAATAATACGCTATTTGTTTCGGTGTATACTTTTACAGGATAGATTTTATACGTGAAGAATGCAACGAAGAGAGTTTGGAGCTCGTTTCTACGAATATTAGGGAATTTTACATCATAATAATATAATTAATTCGTGAATATTTGCAGTCTATCGGAAATTGAACATGAATAAATTACGTAAAAAATTTAATCGGTCAATTTTACAGAAAACAAGACGTTGACAATGCGATAAATCGCGTGTGCAATATTGATCTTGAAAACATCAAGCAAATTCTTGAACAATTGTAGACATTATGTGCTAACATTGTGCCAATTGCGAGCCGATTGTTATTAACAATATCGTGCCAATTGCGAGAACATTGTGTTGTACTATACAATGTAGATACAAATAGATCGGAAAAAGGTGTTCGAGAAATAGTAAGTAGACATCTAGTGCCGACTTAATGAGAACGCGATTTAAAAATGTAATACACACATTGTTCATGCGGCGAAAATGAGTTCGTCCATTTCCTTACAAGTAATCCACGAACATATTGATCATCTGGTACACTACACTTCGCCTCAGACTACCTTGAACTTTGACGTTTGAGGTATCTCTTTCGCACGGACTCTTTTGTGTTCATTATTTATTGAAATAACTGTCGCACTGAGGGATATGGTTATTCCCTTCGATCTGTGTTGCGTTATGTTAACAATATATGCCAAAACGCGCGATCTGAAACTATAATAATCGTGTAACAATCGTGCAAATAGACGCTATCGTTCGAGCAGGGAATGCTTCCATTTGAATTCAAATCAAGCGATAAGTCATGTTTGTAATAATTCGATCTGTCGTTGTAAAATAATAAAATATCGAACTGTGTAATAAATTTTGCAAAGAAAATGCAACGAGGTTAATGAATTCTTGCTTTGTCTTTGAGTAATTGGGGTGTAATGACTACTTGCTTTTCTTTTGTGTGTAATTAGAGTAGACTCTGGTATGAAAGCTCACAATGCAGTTGCTATTCATCTCACAAACCTTTGTAACTTAATCTTCAAGTTCTACAAAGACATTCTCGGCGATTCTACTGATGCTATTATTAAAGTTCAACGTTATGAAATATTAACGCAGAGTTTAATCGACACAACTTTTCATAATTTTTACAAATTCGCACATTTAATTGACATCGGATTTAATTTAATTAAACATTCTGAACATTATATATTTAATTATTACACTAATACATACAAATAATTCAAAATAGGTGTCGTGTATATTTCTTTTTTTTTCTACATTATATTATAGGCTTTGTACGAGATTGTAAAAATTATTTCACTGTGTAAGAGCGTGTTTCCGTTTCCATCTGTTGCTATCGCAAAAATAGCATATTTTACACTTTATAATAGTCTCAAATATACAAGTACATCGTTTATTCGCACATGTATTAGAATATAAACTTAAGTTCTAACAATAAGATATGTCTACAATGTAAGTTTAAATTTAATCAGAAGTTACATTTTATTTTTCAATCTCTCAATGCATAGATTTCATTGGTATAACACGATTCTTTGTAAAGACTCGTGTCGCGTGTAATTAAAGCCAATTAATATCCTTGGAATTCGTTGATTGATTTCACTGATTTCCGATTTTAATCTTCTCAATTGCTATAATCGGAAAGTGGTTGCTGGTACGGTCACGCGCCGGACTTTGTCCATTCCCGGAGAAGGTCGCGGCGAAATCGCGCCGACAGATCGATCGGCCGGGGTTCGAGGACGCGACTGTCCTGTATCTCACGTAATCCATCGATCTTTTACTGCGTGGATTTTTCCCGGCTCGATTATGACTTACCTGCGATAGGAAGCCAGCCACGTCGATGGCACTGTTGACACGCGGCCTCGAGGCTCTCGGCCAGCCTAAAGCTGCGGTGCTGTCTATGGAGTCCACGTGATGGCTCGACCAGTGCAGATGCTGGAAATTTCAGTCGTTTTTGATCACGTTATCGACACGGGCGCGCGATCGACGGCGATGATAATAATTGCAATCGAGCGCGGCCTCACGAAGCGTGACGTTTTAATGCGCGTGGGATCTACGTGATAAGAAAAGTTGAGAGGCCGACAAGGGGCGAGCGAATGAGAGTGCCGCGAACAAAATTGTAAAAACGAGAGTGAACTACAGGACGCACCACAAGTACTGCAATTTGCCTTGGTTGTAAATTTCTTGGTGAAGCCGATATCAAATTGTGCTGGACAGCACAAATCAGGTAAAAAATCATCATCTGCTACAATTTTTTTATTCTAATAATAAATATTAATGAAATATTAATCCAGTATCTGTATCAAAGGAAAAAACACTAAATTAAATGTCGGTTAAAATAAAATCTTATATTCAATAAAATGATAAATTTGATTTAAAGCTTAATACAGTATATGGTGAATTTTTTTGAACAATACTCAATATTAACTATTTATGTTTTAGAAGAAATAGATATATTTATATTAAAAAAGACACGTTAAATTTTGCCAAAGTTAAATTAATTTTACAAAGTAAAGTCGCTTTTGAATTTAACAAAATACATTTAAAATTTAACACTTAATATAGCAAATCCTTTAATATCAATTTTTATTTAATATAAAATTGTTGAATTTTTAAAGAATTATTTCAATTTTAAAGCAAGTTCTTTAATTTTCTTCAAAAATTACATCTGAGACAATCAGCGCGTAATAATAATTGCAATATCAAATGTTGCACTTTATATCATGGAAAGAAAAGCGTAGGTCTGCTGCAGCAATAACAGAGTAGATTTTCTCATGATATAGCACCTCATCTCGCTGCCCCTTTTTTACGTTCTATTTTTCTTGAACAATTAGAAAAAGTACATATTTTACAATTTTATAATCTACGTTGTTATGCGCACTTTAAAAGGATTTAAATGTTACATTATTTGGGTAAGTGCTATTGTGGTATATAAAAAGCGCTTCATAGAAATTTTTACTATCAATAAAATATAGATATCGTATACCATATCAATTAATGCGCTATCGTTTTTATATCACGTATACATTCGGTGGTTGTTGTTCATAGACTACGATGGAAATACTTACACGTCAAAGTTCATCGCATAATCGGGATAGTAAATTAAATTTGAAGGCGATTCGAGAATTGGTTTGAACAAAATTGTAATTTTTTTAATAGAATGTGATCGTTATATAATAGAAATATTAATCTCACTTGATAACTATTTATTCGTGCATTTTTCATGTAAAATCAGGTAAAATAACTAAGGTTGGATTACATAATTCATTTTTTTGTACACCATTTTAAATATAAAAATATTTTTTTATAATTAAAAATAAAATATACGGGATTTAAAAGAAAGAACTTCAAGGATTATTCACTCTAAAAATATTTTCTAGTTTCTGTTGTTTTTTCAATTAGTGAATCCTAGCTCTACATTTATGCAATACCGTTCCGCATTTTTCACTGAATATATTTCGAAGCATATTTTCACCCAAATTTTCGCATCGCCTGTTTGACGCGTAAATCGCGCTGTCGTATCGCGGAAACTACATATGCGCGCAAGAACCTTCCACCAAGTAATATTTGTCTAACGTACATTATTTGTTTCGTATTAAAATGCGATTTTTCTGCACGATACGACGCGCTGCTCCGGCTCTACTCAAAAGCATTTCAAGTGGGTTAAGCATCTTCGTAATCGTGATGAAAAGCATCGATGTACTGTGCAAAGCATCATTTTAATATCGTGATTATTTTTTAGTCTCTCATTAGTGCGAGGAGGTGCAAATTGTGACTAGTCTAACGATGCTACTTCAAAATGTTCTCATTCTGCGATAAAAACTGACTTTATTTAGCTTTAACAAGTGCTACATTTTTGTAAAACAATAAGAAAACAAATTTACTTCGTACCTGTGACGATAAGCTGATAGATAAACATTATATATAACAATAACACAAATAACACAAAATAATATTAGAGCTAAGTGAAAACCAATGCTGAGAAATTGACATAAAACAAAAGTGCACTACCTCGTTGCACCAATAGCGTGACTTTTCATTCATAATCGCTAATGCGCGATCCAAGCGGCTGCATTATAAATTCCTGTGCGTGATCTTCAATATTGTGCTTAAACAAGTGCTATATGTTCAAAAGTAATTGAAATGGAACAAGTTTAAGCATTTCGAAGCGATTGAAAGGCGGTGGATCTAATTTCAAATCAAGCTACTAGATGTGTCACTGAACAAAAAAGGAATTTGTTGAAAATAAATCGATTGGATGAAGTTCCTAGAATAAAATGTCTTCTTCGTATGCAGCGATGAATAAAATCGGTGTGCTCTTTTCGAAGTTTAATTTTTAACGTCTTCGATGTAGTGATATCGTTTAATTTTTATATTTATTGAATTTGTTATCGTTTTTACATCACAATAAAAATAAACAATAATGAATAATATTTGTATATCTGTACGCATGCAGCCGAGATTATTTAAAATGTTATATTCTTCAATGTTGCACTTTCTTGAATTATGTATCACTATATAAGAAATTTATTAGAAAGCTTCTACATACATTAGATAAAAAAAATTCGTAAATTATATAGTATTAACTCTTAACTACTATAATGAAATTAAATCTGTGTCTCTAGCATGCATATTTCATAAAATATCAGGAATGAATAAGCATTTTTCTTTTACCGTTCTTTTAACAAATTCATAATTGACTAGATTTTATCATATTTTCTGTGTACATAGTTTTTTATTTATCATAAATACGAGTAATAAAAAATTGTTGTGTTTTTTATTGATAACCATCTCATCAGCGCGTTATTATTATTAACTTACTCATAGTCAAGAATTAAATTTTTTTATGTATATGTATGTGCGATGTTGAAATGATCACAATAGTGTATTTACAGTCTTGAAAATTAAATTCGTCAGGATTAATTCAATTTTGATATGCCTTTCAGAAAGTATCAATAATATAATATATTTCATAAATTTACTGCGTTTGCGCGCATTTTGTGTTTTATTGAATCGACGAATTCGCGTGCAAAAGATACGGATATAAATCTGTTGCATGGAGACAGACGCGCGAAATAGAATGCATTAAGAAATAAACGTATCGAAAACCCTCGAACTATCGAGTCAATGGAATGCGAATATCAAAATGAATGAATGCAACCGCGCTGAAAAGTTTCCAATTTTAACGAGTTAGGATATATGCTCGCAAAATTTTTCAACTTGCGCTGCCATTCTATATTAATTAAAAAATAGATACGGTTTTTTATGATATAAATGATTGACAGAATATTTGAATGATTTTACAGTTTGTGAATTGTTACTGTTGCGCACACAATGCGTATGATAAATTGTTTTTCGTTATTAATAAATTGTTGTTAATAAATAATTTTGTATTTGTAACAAATGCGGAAAAACATTTGTACAAAAAAATTAAATCACACCAAAAAATCGATTACAATTACAGCAAAATGTGTCACGGTAAGATCGATTGAGTTTCTGTAATATTTATTCGATCAGTTATCAAATGGAGTTTGCGTCACGATTTAATTAGACGCACCGACGCGGAGTAGCGATTCTAATTTAGTACTTGTATCCCGTCGAAATCTCCTGCCTCAGATAGGATTCATGATCCCAATCAAATTTGGGTCAACGTGCTATTAGTTTGGGATCTCTGATTTAGAGATGGGATAAATTTAGGGACGACGAGATATGTTCACAAATCCTACCGTCAAACCTGCGAAAAGTTTACATACGAATTATGTGCGCGTGTTCATCTATACGTGTCTGTTCATCTATATAAACTTTTCGTTGTATGATTTGATTCTTTTTACGTAGATTTCATGTTTACATCAACATGGATGTGTATTTATTTATGTCATGTTTACTTTTTTAATGTAAACAGTTTTTATGTAAACTACGTCAGTTATTAATTTCCTTTAAAATACGATTGATGCAATTAATTCTATTTTTATGTGAAAATCTCCGAAAGCAAGACTTGCCAACCCTAAAGCGTGCTCTCCTTGTACATTTTCTTAAGATATACATGTGATGCAAAGTGGTCTCACACGAAGCTTTCTCATTACAGCAATAAATTTAAAATCAACAGAAGTTGTCTGAATTTCTGACAAGTTGACTGGCGCTGAAAAGCTGCCTGAAAAGCTGACTGGCGCTTGATATATCATGCTACTCAAAACTCTTATCTCGCGAGAAATAGAGATCATTCGCACTCAGCAAAGTGTGTTAAAGCTCCGACATTGCCTTCATTTAACTAGGATTCATTAAAACTTGCAATATAAAAAGTTATTTATACTTCTTTTTTTTTGATTGTGTACATTTCTAAGAAATTATACATATACACATACACATACAAATTTCATATTTAACAAGTAATAAAAAACTTAAAAGTAATAAAAAACTTAAAAAAGACCATCATCCAGTGATAAACAAAGAAAATTATTGGCTTTTATGATTTTTTGTGTTCAATTTTATATTAAATTAATTAAATTTAGTTAGATCGCCCGTGTTGAGCATGTTCTCTCATAAAAGTGATAAAATAAATGTAAATTGTTAAATTGCAAGAATTTTATTGAATAAGTATAAAAATAAAGTCAAACTTTGTATGAATAAAACTAATAAGTATTTAAAAAATTTTTATATAAATTAAGTTCATTAATATAATAATTTAATAATAAAAATGTTCTGCAAATAAAAAATTTTTAATTTTGTATATAATATTTAATTATTTTGATTTATTATTTAAGTAAAAATTTATTTTTTATATAAAAAATTAAAAATTTTGTACACTTAAAAATTAATTATGTTGTAATAAAATAAAATAAAATTGTGTTTATAAAGTTAATAAAATTTTCGATAATTTTATATTCGCCATAGCCACTTGTTTTTTTACAAAATTTTTTACAAGTTCTTGCATTCTG